ACGTGTAATCGCGGGCAGAATATGCCACCACTTAGAGAAAAACGGTACCATAAACCCCAACCAATACGGCTTAAGACCTCTAAAATCTACATCACATGCGATAGCAGAACTTCAAAAGCAGATCCATAGGAATAAATCTTCAACTCTCCATGCAGCAGTACTCTGTATGGATTTCAAAAATGCGTTTGACTCTGTGTGGTGGGGCCTGGTATCCTTGAAGCCTTGCTCAACATTAAATGCTCTCAGAACATATTCAAGCTAATGAATAGTTTCCTAATAAAAAGAGCAACGATAATCATCAGCAACAACTGCATAGTAGAAAGAAGAATAACAAGGGGCTGTCCACAGGCCCTTGTCTAAATGCATACCTAACATATTCAAGCTAATGAATAATTTCCTAATAAAAAGAGCAACGATAATCATCAGCAACAACTGCATAGTAGAAAGAAGAATAACAAGGGGCTGTCCACAGGCCCTTGTCTAAATGCATACCTGAGGCACATCACCTTCAATTATATCACCTCCTACAAGTGACCGGACCATACAAAACTCATCGCTTTTGTCGACGATGTGGCATTTGTAACAAATGGGCATTCAAGAGACATACTACTAGAAAAGAATAGTAATGAAACTCTCTCCATATTCCATTCTCTCTGCATCAATCAAAAACTAATAATTTCCAAGACCAAATCACACATTATCATAAGACCCATCTCTACCTTCAATCAATGTCCCATTCCCAAAATCGTATGCGAAACATAAGTTGAAAATAATTACATTAAAGAAATGGTAAGCTCAATGGGAAAATGCAGAAGTAGGTAGAAGGCTTTTTAACTTCTACAAGAAACCCATATATGATCCAATATCGTATAACTTCTTCATCAACATGTTTTACATCTGGACATGGTCCTTTCACCACGAACTACTTTGCGCGAAATTTGAGCGATTCTGACAAGTGCGTATGTGGAAAAAAAGGAGACCCAGAGCACTATATTTTTAAGTGCCGGATTAAAAAAGAGCTACTCTGCAAAGAATGGTAACAAATTACGCCTGAGTACATTAAATGCTTACTAACTATCCCTCAATTACAACGAAAGGTTTCCTTGATTATGAAGAAACTTTTCTCATATAAAAGAGAAGACATATGTCAAGATGTTATCACAACTGTATAAATACTTCTTATTCCATAACTTACAAAAATAATGCAAGATTTCAGAAATATCGCAAATGTCTAAAACAGGCTAAATATGGTATGAGTTATTTTTACAAAATAATTACATTAAGAATTTGTACTGTATTAGAAGATGAGGGGAAAAATCTTGTAATAATTAAATTATTAATTAAAAAATTAATATACAATTTAATTAGATATATTAAAGTAAATGTAAGTATTATGTGATTTTCTGTATTTATGATCAATTAATTTACAAAAATAACGTAATACTTCAGTGCTGATGTAATTGCGTGTAACAAGTTAAAAAAATGAACGGAAATGTATCAACAAAATAATTTGCCTTAGGAATATAACAAAGTAGTATGAGATGCACAAAAATTTCTTCACCAGTTAGTTCCTTAAAAAGATGTTTAATGTGATTCGATGTAATTAGATATACTAATGTAAATATATTATTTGTATGAAGTACAATTTACAATGTCCGATGTACAATCAAAGTTTGTATGATGTATGTTCGAAGTAATTATGTTATATTAATTTGCCATAATCCAAATTTTGCTATGTAAAAGTCACTGACGAAGTTTTGGTGCTCCGTCCACTTTTCCCCGTCCCCGATAGTGAGCGCGAAAATGCAATTCACTACATAGAAATTAGCGTTTTAAATTTGAAGAACCAGCGTTTAAAATGAGCTGTGTGTGAAAGATAGATATAATTTGGAAGAGAAAATTTTACTGCTGTATGCATTTTACACTTAACATTAAAAATATACTAATACTTACTCAATTTTAAAATAATGGATAAAATTCGCTACTCTTTTAACATAATTTTTTAATGCGCGTTTATTTATAATTTCTTTATCTGCGTGCTAACTGAGAGAATTCTTATACTACTTCAAAGGTAACTATAACATCAGCTATTTACAATTAATCAAAAAACAACCTTAGATTGAGATAGTTTTAAACATATATGACATATATGGCAAAATGTCAGCTAATATAAGGTTGATTTTTTGCCTAATCGTAAATTTTACATTGGTATATTTCTTTTTAGATTCAATATAATCATAGGTATTTTTTAAAAAATTGTGTAACTTACATCTATATTACATTGAAATAAATATATGTAATATTGTTACCTTAGTTTTGACAAAACAGCTTTAATAACAGCACCTAAAACAAATATCTAATATTTCAAAAGTGGGAGTTAAGGAGGCAGGTCTTTTTATGCCTATCTGTGCCATTAATCTGGGTCTTTGTAAAAATATGCTTTAGATGTTTTTCCAAATTCTCCCATCTGTGCTATTGTTCAATTTCGCTGTTTGATATTTTAATTTCTGAATTTCTGGTACAAATTTCTTTCTAGAAGTCGTCAACCTTCTTTGTTTCTTTTCTTCTTTGTCTTTGTCTCAACCTTCTTTTTAATCCTAGATTTTTGTTTTTCTCCCAATGAGAAGAACTAAATCTTCTTTTGAAACATTATTTTAATTTTTAAAGTTCTTGAGTTATAGAATACCACAGTTTTTCAATATACTTGAAACATGGAATATATGATCTTGAAAATTCTGAAATATTACAGTTTTCAGATGACATAAAAACGCTTGTTAAGTCATGATCTTGTTAATAATAAATTACATGGCCAATTCGAAAGACTTTGCAAACGGAAATCAATATTATTTCAGAATCCTTCTTAATCAATTTTGCGCAAATATACTTCTCCTAGTAGTAGTAAAGAATCGCAGTGAACGTAGTGTTACGGATTTTGTATTTAGTTAGCTATTTGTAGTAGAATTTCAATTAAAATTGTTTTATTTCGACAAGCAATGCAGCGCGTGACTAGTTTTAATAGAACGCTACTCTAAAAAAGTAAAAATACAGGAGCACACGTATTTAATAAATAGATATCTTGTAATTGTACTCTTTTGCTTTCCAGAAGCCTCGAGAAAATAGATTTTACAAAATGTACTCGTGCACGATTAAAAAGCTTTAAAAAGCCGGAGAAAAACATCTCAGTTCAGTTTTTTGCTTAGTTATTGAATGATTGTAGCGAATTCGCGGTGACATCGGATTAGCTTTCTCTGTGTTTTGGATTGCGTTCTATTTAACGTTTAAGTATTTTAAAATATAACTGCTGTGTGACATTTTGATATTTTACGAATTTATCTGAGGAAACATTTCAGCATTTTGTTTTTATTTCTTGTGATAAGAATAAATTTTATTAACTTTTTATCATACTTGCGCATTCAATCTATTATGCACCCGTACGTACGCAAAAATATTTTTTTTTAATGTTTGACATTGAAGACCATAACTTAGGATACAAGTTTCATTTCATTATTTATTAAATATCCTACGTACTGTTGTATCAAACAGTTAAATCTTGATTTTGTTTCAGAGCATTTTCCTTTTTTACAGATCTTTACAATATCTAGCAAATGCTAAAGAAATTATCATCTTAGCGTTACGTAATAATGGCTTTCTGGTTCCAGCAAATTTTCCAAGTAATTTATTTTGATGTAAGGACGTTTGGCCTTTAAAGAGTTTTAGGCGGAGCCAAAATAACTAGATCACTGCATTGCATTGTGCTACCATATAACATCGCTACTACTTGACACATACTGCCATAACATCTTGAGCGAAACATAACAATTTAATATATATTCCGCTTGTTCTTGCGCAAACACAGCTCTCAGAGTGTCGCCAGTCGGTACAGAATTAGATCTTTAATCTATCATACAGATGTTATTGATCTGTATTTGCTTAACAACAAATCGATTTAAAAGCAAGAATAAAAAAGTTTAATTTTATAATTAGTTTTATAAAAAAAACTTAATTTAAATGGTATTGTATTTCACTTTTATATATATCTACAAGATATAACGATAAGTTTCATGAATATTTACAGCATTATTTTTCTAACGCCTACATTTCTAACTTTAATTTGATTCTAAAGAATTTGATTTTAATCTGAACATTATCTATTGATGTATAGATTATTGAGGTTTTATGCTCGAAGAAATGGATTATTGTCATGACCGAGTTTTGTCGCACTGCTTTTAACTTCCTCTATTTATTGGCAATTTACCTTCCTCTATCGAAAGAATACGTTTCGCAGCATTTAACTGTGATTGTTCAATCCGCTTGATTTTAAAAACTTGGCTGTAATATTTTGGAATGTACAGAAAACATTTCTATTTTTTAGACACAGAAAGTCCTTTTAATAGACAAATTTAACTCTTCCCTTGAACATTTTAATTAATTCACAAAATTTATATTGTAAAATTAGCAGAGTGAGTTTGTATGTTTTCAAAATTCTTACATGTAACAGAAATACCATACGTAGAAGAGGGAGTTCACACCTGTCATATAAAGAAAATAATACAAAAATGACACTACATGTTCTGTTTAACGCCAGACAAAAATGTAAAATTTTATATCTTTCCCGAAACTAGAATGCAAACTTATTTGCGATTCAGAAAGCGATATGCTTTCTGCTTCATAAAATTGGAAAAAAAAAATGTGTGAAATAAAAAGTTTTTTTTCGGGGGGGGGTCTCAAAGGTCTTTGGTAATATTTTGCGCAAAAAAGAACGGGTTTTTCATTGTACAGACCCAGCATATAAAGGCCAATAGAAAAAAGAAAAATTGTTTCTATACCCTTATATTTGTGCAGCAGTATGTGTATCTGAAAATTACGATTGAAGCTTTTAAAGGGTCGATAAAAAACATGAATGATGTCAAAAAGCTTTATGTTTATAAAAGTGTCTCGCGTGATAAAAGCACATTTTGCAATAAGTTTTACAAAACTAATGTATTTTTTTGTTTTTATAGCTGCGAAGGAAGCTAACTGCAAGTTATTTAGGAATATCAAACGTGACAGTGATTTCTTTTCGGTAAGTCAAGAATTATCACACCATTCGCTTTTCTGATTATGCTTAATATAAAAAGTATGCTGTATTACGTGCGACTTAAGCTCCGAAATTCAATGCATACGAATATTTTACATTTTAATGTAGTTCAGTTTCTGTATAAAATAAAATTTTAAATTTCTAATAAAAGCTATTTGCTTCCAACTCAATACGAATATTCTTAATTTGTAGTCCGCAAAACTACTAAATAATTAATTATTTCACTTCTTTTGATAACATGAAAGCCATAGTAAATGAGCGTTCTAATTGAAATTTATTATGTAAGTCATTACTAAACTAAAGATTTCACCTTTCAAACTTTGTGGAGGCAATTGTCTCAGCTACGGAACTGTCACCCTGCGTAATTATAAATTAAAGCCTCGCTAATTCCATTACGGAGGTATGTTAAAGCCGACACTCTTACGTTGTTATTGCTGACTTGAATAAAATAAAGAAAATTGTTATTCCTAAGACATCCGATTACGTTCTAGTCGCCAATTTAGATGAAATTTTTATTAATTCTTTTTTTACTATATTTTAAAGCATATACTTTAAAAGCACATAGTAGGAAACTCTCAACTTAAACACACAGAAACCTAATTTGCATTCTTGACAGGAATACGGAAATGAGAAGACATAGTAAAGACTTGATAACTGATTAATTAACATAAGATACCAAACAACCTCAAACTTGGAAGTTAGCAATGAAGATATGGAGGCGTGAATAAGAAGACCGTGAAAATCAGATAAACAAGAACGGTGAAGGATTTAGATTAACATGTTTATGACAATCATTTTTCACTTTATTGTCCAGAGGATGTCTAAATACGGTAATAATAATAAGTTATATAAGGTTCTGAAATTTGCTGTTTCGTTTATTGAAATAACCTTTATTGTTGTCACTGCGTGAATCTCATTAACACAGACGTGTGCAGGTGGATCCTTCTTTCAGCATCTGGCATGAGGCTCAGGTGGTTCACTCTTCATCGAAGATAATTTGGTGTAAAGATCGTGAATTATGAATAAAGGAAACAGAGTTGTGCTTTTCTGGAATGGCAACATCAGAATAAAAAGATGTTCTAAGATCTGGCTAAAGTTATGTAAAGAACGTGGATTATAAAGAAAGGAAACATAGTTATGTATTACTGGTTTTGTCCGGTAATATTAGTTTTGTTTACTAGAGTCAGAGCAATGAATACGCCAGTGTTCTAAAGTAATTTCGTTTTACTCGTCAGAGTTAGTGAACAGCACATTATAAATTAAACTCTTAAGAATTGACTCTTTTTTTAATTTTCATCACAGATAATTTAAAGAAAAGTATTTTAATATAATTGAATTTATTTTGCATTATATGTGAAAAAAAGTAATTTATTAGACTTTTAATTTCGGTATTCTAACTCACGCCAGTGCACAATTTTGTATTCTGTTTACCAATTGTAAAATATACTGTAAAACATATATATATATATATCAATAGGAGTTAAAATATCATTTGAATAAAACAAAATAAAAAAGGGTTGCTTTGTCTAAGTCAATTGACTGAATAAAGTCAGATAATATTATTTGGCGTCCGCCAGCTGTTGTAGAGTCGCACATAAAAACGATTTTTTTCAATTTTTTGTTTTCTCAACAAAAGAGAAAACTGCAGAAATTGACCTTTCCTTCCCCACACACAAAATGACTTTATTATAAATAGAAGTTACGAGATCCAATGGTTGTGGTTGTTTAAAAAATATATATTATGAAACTGTGGTTGTTTTATTTTATTTTGAATATCTTTGATATCGTATTTTGGTTTGCTGAATTGTTTTCCACATAAATGATTCAGCATTTAAAGTGCATTTTAAACAGAATATTATCAGTTATAAAGTTAGTGAAATTAACTAAATTACTTATAACAAACCTCAATTAGAGAATTTATACTTTAACTATCTTTAAGGGTAAATTTAAGAAAGTATTAATTAGAAATTAGTTTTCTTTGTTAAATTTTTAAAAATTGAGGTTTATTTAAAATCGAACCATGGCTTTTATGGGGCGTGGGAAAAAAGGATGATTTGTTAGTGTTAGCTGCTGAATTAGAAATTCAAATGGATCCAAGTATTAAAATTGTAGCAATAAAAAATAAAATATTTCAAAGTGACACATACGATGAAGCATTTGCTAAAGAAATATTTTTAAGGACTGTTGAAGAGAGGAAAAGAAAGGAAGAAACAGAGAAAGAGAGAAAAAAATAGAAGAAAAGCGGAGAAAATAAGAATTAGGACAAGAGACGTAACAGAAAGGAAGCGGAGAAAAGACGAATTAGAAGAACAGCAGAGAAGAGTGCAAATGCAAATAGAATTTGAATTGAAGGTACTCGGAATTGAATCTAGTACTCGTATTACACAAAACTCACCAAAATATGAAAATTTCGATCTAATTAAGCTTATTCCTAAGTTAAGAGACATTTGATATCGTGATTTATTTATCTTTTTCTGAAAGACAAGCTAAAAGAAAAATGATTGATCTTAACGGCTGGGTGTCATTAAGATATAATAGGCCGAACAAATATTAATTTAGAAGTCAAACAACAAAAACCAGTGTCATATTTGCGAATTTTCACATGATTAGATTGAATGGTTTTACCGAACCATTATTCTCAACTGCCAGTGTGCAAATGAACGTTTAAATGAACGTGCAAATGAACGCATAAGTTATAGTGATAAGATAGCTGTACAGGAGTTAAGCCATCGGCGTCATCTATTGTTGAAACAAGAAATCTAAAACATAACTTCCTTCAAGGCTGAAGTTAAAGATGGATTGGAATTAGGGTCGTCAACTAGAACAGAAAGATTTTTTGGAATGTGAAACGAGAAAATCCAGTTCACCAAAGGAAGATGATTTTTTAATTATTTTGGCTGCAAAAAAATAGTAAAGTGTGATTTTGGGACCAGCAATGCTGGACATCACAGGAATTCGGGGTTTCTTTCTTCTAACATATGCCTCATGTTCCTTAACAGGAAATTTTAAGGCACTCTTAGTTTGCCCAAGTTAAACCACACTGACAAAGAATCCTGTAAATACCGCAGGAGGGTCCTTAAGTATAGAACTCGGAATTTTATTCATAGGAGAATAAAAGACCCGAAAGTTAAATTTCTGTAAAATACGTGCAATTTTGTAGCTAAGCTGATATAAAAAAAGAATAAACTAGAATTCTTATTTTCTCCTAAAACAAGAGTTTGCCTTTTGGGGTGTTGAAAGGAGAATTTTTTAACTGCTTGGTTAATAATGTTGGGTGAAAAGCTCCTATCAATATCCACTGCTCTTAAATAATTTAGTTCTTGATCAAGAGCCAATTTGGAGGAGCAAACTTGAAATCCCGATACCGAATTTCCTAAACTAACCCCAATCATTAGTGATAAATGGAAGACAATGCCCACTAAAATATTTGTTGAAAGAAATTCTGGATGACAAATCGTCAATTAAGTCCCACCCATCGCTAAACAAGCCCAGCTATCTCAATGCCTCTAATCAATTTGAACAACTGCGGGTAGAAGAATACTTAAATACAGCAATGGAGGATAACGAATGAATCCATTCAATAAACCACCGACTACCATTCAACACCAACTCGTGCCCCTCGGTCCTTCACTAATGTCGCCTTTTTCGACGCTAATGGCATTAAAAAACAAAAAGATCAAATTCAAAACTTTCTCTCTAGCAATCATATTGATATTATGTGTATTAACAAAACGCATCTAAATGCCTCAGAAAAAATTTAAATTGCCAACTACAACATTATACGCACTGACAGATCACACAATAATGGCGGTGGTACTGTTATACTTATTAAAAAGCATATTCAAACACTCTCAGTATTCTCTGATCAATGCAGGCAATTTAGAGACCACTGGTGAATGAGTCAACCAGCGTAAATGAGTCAACCAGCGTACCACACCTACCAAAAATAAAACTCAAAGCAAAGTTCCTACTCCTAGCAAATGAAAATACCCATTAAACCAAATCCACAAACACCTAGACGAAATAAAATATCTTCGATTATTATATCGGATAATAAAATTAATTGGAAGGCTCTACGCAACGAACTTATACAGCTTAATATCACTCGTATGGAGACTGATGTTAAACGCAGAGAAATTCACATCAGACTTTATTCTGAAGAAGATTTCCGTACTGCTCAACATCACCTAAAAGACACTAAAATTCCTTTTCATACAGACAAGCTTCAAAACGAACTAACTATCAAAGCAGTAATTTGCAAGCTTCTTCCCATCACCGAAATGGAAGAAACTGATGAAGAATTAAAGAAACTTAATATCCCTCACTCAAATATCCGCCAAATACCCCGATTCGTTGATAGTAAAATCATCCCTCTATCTACCTTTACCGTAGAAGTACCCAGAAGCGAACAGGGGAAGAAAATATTTGACATCGAGTTTCTCTGGGGCTTCGCGTTGAAATTAAATGTATATACTTATGGACAAGCCTACTCAATACTTTCGCAGTCAAAGATTCGGTCACAATCAAGATCCATGCAATATGATCTTAAATGTGGCAAGATGTCTTAAATGTGGACAAAATCACTTCTGCTGTCAATGTACTCTAAAGAAAGAAGATAACAAGCAAAAATGTGCAAACTGCATTGGGAATCATATTTCCTCATGCAAATCCTGCCCTTACTACCCCAAAATTATCTGACACCAGAAGAAATTTGTCCCAATAATAACTACGCAGAAATCGAAGCCGAAAAATCTCTACGCCTATTTCTCAAAATGTTAATGAGCAACAGGTACTAGCAATAAATCAGAGTGCATGGACACAACGACTTCTCACCAGTCAGCAAACTTTGACCGTCCCTCAATCAAATGCTTCTAATATCAATACAAACCCAACTGTCAATGCTATTACAGCTCATCTTGATAAAAATCCTGCAAACAAATCCACCGGCGTAACTTCTAATAAGCAAAAAGAAGCCCAAAACTACA